AAGTGGCCCAGGATACGGCGCGCCTCTCATCCCACGTAGCCCGGTTGGGCCTAACAGTGAACACCGGGAAGAGTTGCCTGGTCCCTTCCCAACAGGTCACTTACCTGGGGATGGTCCTAGATTCGGTCGCCATGAGGGCCTACTTGACACCTCGTCGTGTGGACGACATTTCCCACCATCTTCGCATCTTCAGACTGGGCAAGAGGGTGCCTTACATCCAGTTCCTCCGGCTCTTAGGCAGACTGACAGCTGCCTCAGCCGTTGTGCCCTTGGGCCTTCTGTCACTGCGCCCCATGCAGATGTGGCTGAACAACTTTCACTTGGACGCCAAGCGGCACAGGCACAAGAGAGTCAGGGTGTCTCAGCGGTGCCTCCACTCTCTGTCCCGCTGGAGGGACAGGGCCTATCTTCTGATGGGTGTGCCCATGGGCGCCATCCCATCCCGCCGGGAGACTGTCACTGTGGATGCGTGTCTCTCAGGGTGGGGTGCGGTGTGGCAGGGCAGGACTGTGCAGGGTCAGTGGTCTGCCCAGGTAGGTGCACGCCATATCAATGTGCTGGAGCTTCAGGCGGTGTTGCTCGCACTCATGCACTTTTTACCCCAACTGGCGGGCAGGCATGTACTCGTTCGTTCGGACAACATGTCCGCCGTTGCCCAAATCAACCACCAGGGGGGCACCAGGTCCGCACAGCTGCTCCGCGTTTCACAGAGCCTCTTGCCTTGGGCGCTCCCCCGCCTCGCCAGTCTGCGGGCAGTCTTTCTGCAAGGAGACCTGAATCAGGTCGCAGATTTCCTCTCACGGCGCAAGCCTCCACCGGGGGAGTGGAGGCTTCACCCAGAGGTCGTGGAGACAATTTGGAGCCTTTTCGGCAGGGCAGAGGTGGACCTCTTTGCCTCGGAAGAGTCGAGGCACTGCCCCCTCTGGTTCTCCTGGACGGAGGTGACCAGCCCGTTGGGTCAGGATGCCCTGGCGCACGACTGGCCGGACACTCTCCTGTATGCCTTCCCGCCGCTGCCTCTGATACTGCAGACGCTTCAGAGGGTCCTTACTCAGGGGCACAGGCTCCTTCTGGTCGCCCCCTGCTGGCCGGGGAGAGTCTGGTTCCCACTGCTGCGCAGTCTCTGCTGCAGCCCACCTTGGCGTCTCCCCGACAGGAAGGACCTTCTGTCACAGCTCAAGGGTCAGATTGGGCATCCCGACCCTCACCGCCTTCAGCTCTGGGTTTGGCCTCTGCAGGGCCGAACCCACTAATGAGCGGTGTCACGGCATCTGTCAGGGAAACTATCCTGAATGCCAGAGCTCCATTCACTCGGGCACAGTATGAGTGCAAATGGAAGCTCTTCTCCCACTGGTGTGTGAGTAAGGCTGAGAATCCGGGACATTGCTCCGTGGCCACCATTTTAGAGTTCCTGCAGTCCCTTCTGGACAGTGGACGTTCTCACTCCACTTTGAAGGTGTATATGGCTGCTATCTCTGCCCGACATGTCGGAGTCGATGGCGCCACAGTGGGGCGCCACAGGTAGGTGTCCCTCTTTATAAGAGGGGCTCTACGGCAGCGTCCCCCTAGCACCGCAAGGGCCCGGCTTGGGACCTGCCCCTAGTGCTGGATGCCCCATCATCTCCTCCCTTCGAGCCCCTGGCCCAGGTCGGGCTTAAGTGGCTGTCCCTGAAGGCAGCATTTCTGCTTGCCATAACCTCAGGGAAGCGAGTCGGAGAGCTTCATGCCCTCTCCGTAAGCAGTACATGCCTGAGGTGGAACTCCGATGGCTCGGGTGTCACCCTCTGGCCGAATGTGGCGTTCCTGCCCAAGGTGCTTCCACTAGCCCACTCCAATCGGCCTATCCAGCTGGCACGCTTTAACATTCCACAGGAGAGCGGCACACCTGAGTTGCTGTGCCCTGTGCGTGCCCTGAGGGCGTATATTGATGCTACGGCCTGTATACGGCAGTCAGAGCAGCTCTTCGTTTGCCATGGCGGCACTAGGAAGGGTCGTGCTCTCTCGAAACAGCGGCTGTCCCACTGGGTGGTTGATACCATCACATGTGCCTATGGGGCCAGTGGCCGCCCCCCGCCATCAGGGGCCAGATGCCACACTACAAGAAGCATCTCAACATCGTGGGCTGCCCTAAGAGGGGTGCCCCTGGAGACCATCTGCGCCGCGGCGTCATGGTCGTCTTCTGGCACATTCTCCAGGTTATACCGGGTCAATGTCGCCACTCCTCACCCTTTGGGTGTGGTCCTGTGGACAAGCTCCGCTGCTTCCAGCTAGGTGAGTGCTTGGATTCTTCATGACATGGTTGGTATAAGTCATCCAGTGCTAAAGCACCGCCTCTGGCGGTCAGTAGGGACGAAATAGAACGATAGTTACGGCTGTAACTACGGTTCTATGAGTCCCGGATGACCGCCAGAGTATCCTGTCACTCAGAATTATTGTGTGCTCGCGAGAAGATTCTGGGAACAGATCCTCTGACGACACCGGCTGATATAGCCGGTGCACGTGGGTCACAGGTGACTTTGTTGTTATTGGTACTCGAGCTGCGCATGCGCGCGATGGACATATCCAGTGCTAAAGCACCGCCTCTGGCGGTCATCCGGGACTCATAGAACCGTAGTTACAGCCGTAACTATCGATTTTACCCCAATCAAAATCAAACAGATCATGTAAAAAAACCTGCTCCACAAAGTGTTTTTTGTCTCTCTTTGTGATGATACGTGGTTTAACCTTTTGGACCTTAGTGTCCCTAATTGTGGCTACAACACAGTGGTCACTCACATCATTAGCAAATACTCCCACAGATGAGTATTTATGTGGAACATTTGTTAAAATTAGATCAATTAAGGAGGATTTATTTGGGGACTTAATATTTGGGCGAGTAGGACTGTCTATAATCTGGGTAAAATTCAAAGAGGTACACAGGTTTTTAAAATCCTCTGACACAGAAGTTAACCAGTCCCAATTAAAATCACCAAGCAGCACTATTTCCTTGTAGGAAAGTTGTGATAACAGTTTTGCCAATGACGATAAAGAGTCCTTGACAGCCGAGGGGGCCCTGTAGCAGCCCACCACCATGACCTGTTGACCCTTTGTTACCTCAATATTCACGGCTAAAAATTCTAGCTGTTTACTAACAGATTTGAAAACCATATTAGTTACACAAAACTTATTTTTCACATAAATGGCAACGCCACCACCTTTTTTAGGCCGGTCAGTACGATATACACTGTAACCATTTATGTAAATGTCAGAGGCCAAAATGGATTTATCTAGCCACGTTTCTGATAAGACAATGACATCAGCATCAGTCGAACTCGCCCAAATACGGACAAAATCTAATTTAGGTAACAGACTACGTACATTTAAATGAATTAAACCTAGCCCAGATCTAGATATAAAATCAGCAGGAGTAGCTATTTGACTAATACTGCTAGGTGGACCTGGATTTGGCTGTACATTTCCTGATAGTAACAACAACAAAAATACCAAGCACCTTTTCCTCTTAATCAATACACATACATGGTCAGCTATTCTAGAGTCACCAGCAAACTTCGCGAAAGTGAGATTAGAGTTTAAAAAACAATTCTGAAGGACCATCGTGGCAGGCAAGTGAGAAAGACAAACATTTTCCGAAATGAATGTCCGCGACAGTGAAACCAGCAATTGTTTGTGCAACACCTCCGAAACTGTACAGGGGATGTCCACTGCGGGCGGCAGAACATACCGAATCCAGTAGATTTTTCAGGATGACTGGCGATATTCTCCTTGTCCAGCAAAGCCAAAAAAAGGCACAGCAGAAACACGACACCCGCCATTCTCCCAGTCCAGCACAACAGTATCCACGCTGTTCCCGGAGCAAGAACCACGCCAGGACAGCAGCAAGAACCAGCAGGGAGGCAGCAGCGTAGCAACTCCCCAGGTTTCTCCGCAGTATCTCAGATCAGGCCTTCGCACCCGTAGAAGCAGAAACAGGCAGGAGCAGGCTTTCACACCGGAACCAAGACAGGTGGATGACCATTGCCTGAACAAGTTAGATGCCAACTATCACAGCGCACTGAGATTTGTCACAAATGGTAAAGCACTTACTCATCACTGTACCCTGTATGCCAAGGCAGGTTTGCCATCACTAACTGTAAAGAGGCTCAGTCATTGGTACACGTTTATCTATAAAGCTTTGTTGGGTAAACTCCTGTATTATATCTGCTCTCTGATAACACGGAGAGTTGCAAGCAGCTATTGTCTGAGATCGCATGATGTAGTATTGTTAGATGTGCCAAGAGCAAGGACTGTCTTAGGTAAGACAGCTTTTATGTGCGCAGCTCCACTTGCTTGGAACAATCTTCAGCAAGAATTGAAACTGAGCAATCTCATTCCTCTGCATGTTTTTAAAGCTAGGCTAAATGAAATGCTCGTTGATACTATGGCCACTTGTAAATGTCTATAACTATGTAAATGTATCCTGTAAATATAATGTATAATGTCCTTTATTGTTTTATGTTTCATGTGGAACCTATATGCTGCAGGTCTCCCTTGAAAAAGAGATCTATGATCTCAATGGACCAATCTGATTAAAGAAAGGTTTGAAATGAAATGAAAAAGGTGTACAGATGGTGCAGTGTTTATATACAGGTGTACCTAGAGATGGTGCAGTGTTTACAGGTGTACTTAGAGATGGTGCAGTGTTTACAGGTGTACCTAGAGATGGTGCAGTGTTTACAGGTGTACCTAGAGATGGTGCAGTGTTTACAGGTGTACCTAGAGATGGTGCAGTGTTTACAGGTGTACCTAGAGATGGTGCAGTGTTTACAGGTGTACCTAGAGATGGTGCAGTGTTTACAGGTGTACCTAGAGATGATGCAGTGTTTACAGGTGTACCTAGAGATGGTGCAGTGTTTACAGGTGTACCTACAGATGGTGCAGTGTTTACAGGTGTACCTACAGATGGTGCAGTGTTTACAGGTGTACCTACAGATGGTGCAGTGTTTATATACAGGTGTACCTACAGATGGTGGTGGTTCCTCCACACAGAGCCGCTCTGGTTCCTCGCTGCAGGTCGTCTGCAGGCTGCTGGCCTCTCTGGGGGGAGAACAGGCTGGTGTTAGCATCGATGCCTCCAGGAAACACCAGCTGACCATAGGCCTCCACCGTCTGGAAACCCCCTCCTGGGACCAGGAGGCTCTCCCCCATCTGCCTGAGAGGACAACAGGAAGTCAGAGAGGACAACAGGAAGTCAGAGAGGACAACAGGAAGTCAGAGAGGACAACAGGAAGTCAGAGAGGTCAACGGGAAGTCAGAGACATATCTGAAAGAACAACAGGAAGTCAGAGAGGACAACAGGAAGTCAGAGACATATCTGAAAGGACAACAGGAAGTCAGAGAGGACAACAAGAAGTCAGATAGGACAATGGGAAGTCAGAAAAGAAAACAAGAAGTCAGGGACATATCTGAAAGGACAACGGAAAGTCAGAGAGGACAACGGGATGTCAAGAGACATATCTGAAAGGACAACAGGAAGTCAGAAAGGACAACTGGAAGTCAGAGAGGACAACAGGAAGACAGAGAGGACAACAGGAAGTCAGAGACATTTCTGAAAGGACAACATGAAGTAAAAAAGGACAACAGGAAGTCAGAGAGGACAGCAGGAAGTCAGCAATTCATAATAATGAAGGTACTTGATGATCCCGTCCTCAACGTAGATGTCGGCGTAAAACGACTGATCATCGTTCACGACTTTCCCTCCTTTGATGAGCAGACGGTCACCCTGGAAACAGAGTGCATTCTGGATAAAACATCAAACATCTGTATTTAATGTGAAAATAAAAACTGGGGGGGTAGGGTTCGATCTGACAACACTGGCTGAACAACATTTGCTTACAGTTAAATGCAAAAAAAACAGTATGCATGATGTTCAGTGAATGACCAGTCAAAATCGAAGGATCCAATGTGTTTTTAAACGGAGCAGAATTAGAACTAGTCCCCCACTTCAAGTATCTTGGAGTCATACTCGAACTTGACTTTTAAGAAACATATTAAGAAGGTATCCAATACCATTACATTTGCAACAAATTAGACCTTTCTTAAAGGTGGGGTAGGTAATTTTGGAGAAACCAGCTCGAGTGCGCTAGAATTTGAAAATACACAACCGGAACAAATCTGCCACTTCCTTACAGAGCCCCTCCTCCAACACACACGTACGCGCACATGACCAATGAGGGCATGAGATAAGTTTGTGCACAGATGGAAGGCTGACAGGCAGGTAGGCCATCCAGTTACTTTAGCCGGGCCGGCTAAAATGATTGGTCGTGCTTTTTACAGCGCCACGGCTTCCACAGATGACATTTTTTTATGGATTTTTTGTCAAAGCACTTCAGATATTCATTGCTATCGGGATGTTAAGAGCATTCCATGCAATATAACAACAAGTGTATCTCGAGCCGGTTTCTCAAACTTACCTACCCCACCTTTAACTGTCAATGCTGCAAAGTCATACCTCCACTGTATGATTCTATCCCACATGGAATACTGTTTGACAAATTGGTCGTTTGCTTGTGCCACAAACCTGAACCAATAGAACAGCTGTACAAGAGAGCTATCAAGGTGTTTGACAGAAAGCCAAATTCATACCACCACTGACTTAAAATGGTCAAAACTCAAGAAATGGTGTTTCTCCCTAGAGAAAGACCATTTCTTCAGTTTTGACCATTTTAAGTCTTTTAAAAGTGTTTGTTTTATTTATAAATGTTTACATGGACTGCCCCCCCCCCCCCTCCCTAGGGGAATTCCTCCACAAAAAACCCACTGGACGCTGCACTAGGTCAGAAACCAGAGGAGACTGTGAGGTCCACCGCAGACGGACCACTTTTGGACAACATGTCCTCTTCATTAAAGACAGCTCTTTGTGGAACAGCCTCCCAACTGAGATACGGGATTGTGCCACTCTCAATAGTTTTAAAGGACAACTCAAAGAATGGTTAAGAAACAAACAGACGTGCAATCACCGCTAAATGCACTTTAACACAGGGGCATCTCCTCTTGCCCTTTGTGTAGCTCTTTTATCTCCTCCTGCACTTTATATGTCGTAGCTGCTACATTGTACTGCCATGTGTTTAATGCATGTATGCTGCTCATGCTCTTTCTGCATGTCATGTATTTATTTTTGCAATGTATATAAATGTCATGTTCTTATATGTTGTATGTGACGGGACTCCGGATGGAAATTAGCTTAAAGCTCAAATCCGGCTCATTTACGCTTGTAAGCATTATTTTGTTTTAAAGTGTTCATCGATGTGCACTGTCCCGGTTCAAATAAATGATTCAAATGGGCATCGCAGCCATTATATGAGGGTGGGATAAGTCCCCCCCACGTTTAAAATGATTAGTTTAGACCCCCCCAAATTTACTATGCGGAAAGTCTGTGAATCGGTCTATCCACTCGCTCCTCTATGTAGAGCGCTGTGTCAGAGCTTCATTATCAAATCCATTCCACTTGCTTATTGTGAGAATGCCCAAATCAATGAAACTCCGTACCATGTTTTCACTGCTACTTTGTACCAAGGCAGATTCTCAGAGCCGTACACATGAGCCGTGCACATGAGCCGTGCACATGAGCCGTACACATGAGCCGCACACAGGCTGCGTTTTTTGCGTAGCTGTGTCTTTAGTTGTAAAATTATGCGGGCCACAGTTTCCCCGCTGCGAGGCTCCGGCGCTAACAGTTCACGATCGTGCTCCACTAGCACCTGGATATAAGGCGCTGTTATTAAAGAGGTGGAGGGGGAGTCCTCTCCTGTCAGACTGAGAGGCAGATAACTACAGCTCAGTGAGGTGAAGGACTCTCTGAGAGGTGGAGGGAGAGTCCTCTCCTGTCAGACTGAGAGGCTGATAACTACAGCTCAGTGAGGTGACGGACTCGCTGAGAGGTGGAGGGAGAGTCCTCTCCTGTCAGACTGAGAGGCTGATAACTACAGCTCAGTGAGATGAAGGACTCTCTGAGGGTTTAGAGCAGGCCCGCTTCTACGGGGGTGCATAAGGGTGCATTGCACCCTCAGTTGAGTCGTTATGCACCCTCATTTGAAAAATGAAAAGTGGAAACAAATATTTATATTAAAAATGAAAAAAATTAAAAGTGAAAAATATTATATATGTAATAATAATTGCAGTAATAATAATAATAATTAATTATTATTATATATAATAACAAGAAGAATATAGTTGAAATAAAATAAATTGTAATTGTGGTTAAATAACATTGTAATAACGTTATTATGTCAGGTGCACGTGACCGGTGCCGCTGCGCGCTCCTCATCTGCAAGGTGCTTACACAGCAGTCAATGATGGATATCAGACAATGGTTAAAACAACCAGCCCTTATCACCAGCAGTAACACTGCATCTACTGCAGACCAGTTCAGATCATGGGGACATTATGTTACCCGCGGCCACTGTCGTTGACACTAACGTCCTCCCGCCCGCCTCGCCGGCTTTGCCCGCCTCGCCCACGGAGGCGGAGCAGCCGCAGCCGTCTTCGTTGCCCCAAACACTGCCACCCCTCAGCGGCCCGCAAGTGCCAGAGGACCTCGGCAAAACAGAGCCTGCCCAGGTATATTTAAAATTATAATTCGCGAGCTATTTAGTTTTAATTGTTTTAATCCATCCGCGAGCACGACGGCATCTGCGATCCCTCGCTCTACCCCTCGCTATCGCGTGAAGGGTCTGCTTTATGCGCTCCGCACAGTAACACTGCTGCGTGCTCACTATCTGACGATGGCTGTCCTCTGTCTCCTGCTATCTGTATATTTTGCGCAGTCTATCTCTGCTCACGCTGTTGCGTCGGCGTGTTCTCCTGCGTGTTGGCCATGTGTTGCACTGGAACCAGACTGGAGCACACCACAAAGACTTCAGCCGAGCACGTACGAACTGCGCATGCGTGAGTGGCAATAACTCTCCTTACCAGCAGGCGGCGGTAGTGTGTATTCGTCATTCAAAACAGGCAACAACCGGAAAACAGAGAAGAAGAACAGACTACGTGATATAAACAAACAACAAATAGCTGTGCGTTAGCTTCACCTTAGCATGTGTTCTTTGCAGGTGTTTGTTGAGGTTTGATGATGACTGATTTTAGTAAGTAACAAAGTAACGCGTGTCAGGGCAATGTCACTAACTGTAGTGTGATTACTGAATTATAAAAGTAGCGCGTTACACTATTCCGTTACCGACAAAAGTAATATTATTACAGTAACGCGTTACACCCAACTCTGAACATAAGTATGATTAAAACGAGCTACGCCATTACCCTCTCAACAACAAATACATTATTATTAGGGCAGACAGAACAGACGTGACTAGGAACTCTCAAGTAAACACGTGTTTAGTTTAAATAAAGCCTCTCATTTTTGGTATAGACCTTTGAAATAGGGCTTTGAATTTGAAACATTAAGGCTTCTACACAATTTCTGAACACACGATGGCAGCAGTTAATGCAGAAAAAAAAGAAAAGGCACAGTAAAGCTGAGAGTCATTCACATCCCTAGAATGCGTGGGGGGCGGGGTTCATAACCCTTTAGGAAACGCCCCCTATAGGATCCGCCCCCTTTAGGATCCGCCTCCTTGCTGCGGTCTGCATCCAGACCCATCTCCTCAAAAGGTCCGGTTTATTTCATTTTAAGGATGCGCACCAAGCAACATCTCCAGGTGCTCCTTTGAGAACCAGGGCAAAAAAGTGATGTGCACCCCTGTTTATATGATCATTATAGTTATAAACAATAAGAGAATAACAGGTATGAAATAATTCCAACTCCTACTATAGGACAGTAACACAAGAAAAAGTAAAAAAGTCAATCTGTTTCCAGGTCTGTTTCATCTGGGAGTTGAGAGATGTTTCCATAGATCTCTAACGTTGCTCTCAAAGTGGAGCAGATTGATGCTTTAACTTCAATATTTAAAACACATCTTCCCGGGGGAGCATGCCCCCACACCTGCTGTCAACTTGTCCCACCCACATTGAGGATGCTTCCTACGGCCATGCCTTGTATATTCACTATGTGTCAGATTATAACACTGTACCTATTATCTGATTCATTGTATATTCACTATGAATCAGATAATAATAATAATATATAATAATATTGATCGTCCTCTCAGGCTGCAGCACCCGCAACCCGGTGCTCTCCTCCCGCTCCACCCGGTCCCCCCAAACCCGGTACCGGAGCGGCTGCACCTACCGCGGGTCTCGCGCTGCTCTTTTTGTTCTGAAACGCCATGCTGACCGGCTGACACACACACACCACACACACACACACACACACACACACACACACACACACACACACACACACACACACACCACACACACACACACACACACACACACACACACACACACACACACCACACACACACACACACACACACACACACACACACACACACACACACACACACACACACACACACACACCACACACACACACACACACACACACACACACAGCTATTGTTGCTGCCATCAGCGATGACGTCACGGCTTCTGGTGTGGAGTTTCAAAATAAAGTCCCTGAACGCGCCTGTTGTCTCAGTGTGTGTGTGTGTGTGTATGTGTGTGTGTGTGTGTGTCCAGGATTTCGTAAATACCGAGACCCAAAACATGCTAGTGGGGCTCGGGAGCATTCTTTTAGTGTTGTGAACTGCACATGCTTTTATTTTGAAAAGAGATCCCAGAAGAGTTTTTAGTGCTGGTTGCTGATTGGCTGTCACTGTACCGAGACCTGATTCCTACTGTCACGGATTGGTTTATTATTTTATGGATTTATTTTTCCTCTCCATCATTTGGAAACAGAGAAACTCTTCCAGAATCAGAGTTAGTGATTTAAATCGCATCATATTTGTGTTTCTGTAATTTACATGTTTCTGATTTAAAGGTCCCATGTCCTGCTTCTCTGGTTCTGACCCGTCCCCTTGTGTTCTGGTCTGCAGAGTCCCAACCCCTCAAAGTACACCCTGTAGCGAGTAACACTCTAACACAGACCTGTCTGTGCTGCCCCAGAATGCTTCGTTGGGGATTTCTCTTTTTGCATTTGTTTCTTCCTGGGTTCAGTGACATGCCCATACCCAAATGGACCCATTGGTACCCTATTTATATTATTCAATTATATAGAATAATATAAATCTATTCTAGTAGACCTCAACAATGGAATTATGATCAGTAGAAATGGCCATGTCATGGGACCTTTAAATAAATATCATATTGTTTTCTGATTTAAATAGGAACGTCTGTAGAGCTGCCGTTCAGATCGAGATCAAATAAGAGTTTCAGAGAAAATGATACTCTAATCAAAATGAATCTCAAAAGTAGAACTATAACTTAGGGTTGTGTTGGAGTTAACGAGGAACCTCTGCTTCTCTGATCTCACTTTCCTCTTGTTTGCTATTTTCTGTTAGACATTTTGACTCAAACCTTAAGCGTGGGCGGGACTTTCAGAGGAGCCACCCCATTGGCTACTCAGGCTGTTGAGTGACAGCACAGTTCTCTGGAGATTGGACAGTGAAACAACAGGAGCTGAGCAGGTTCCCCAGAGGAACCGACCCCGGAGGAACCGACCTCGGAGGAACCGACCTCGGAGGAACCGACCTCGGAGGAACCGACCCCAGAGGAACCGACCCCAGAGGAACCGACCCCAGAGGAACCGACCTCAGAGGAACCGACCCCAGAGGAACCGACCCCACAGGAACCGACCCCAGAGGAACCGACCCCAGAGGAACCGACCTCAGAGGGTACCGACCCCAGAGGAACCGACCCCAGAGGAACCGACCTCATAGGAACCGACCCCAGAGGAACCGACCTCAGAGGAACCGACCCCAGAGGAACCCAACCCACAGGAACCGACCCCAGAGGAACCGACCCCAGAGGAACCGACCTCAGAGGAACCGACCCCAGAGGAACCGACCTCAGACGAACCGACCCCAGAGGAACCGAACCCAGAGGAACCGACCCCAGAGGAACCCAACCCACAGGAACCTACCCCATCAGGGAACCGTGTTGTCTGTACTACACGTTCTCCGCTGGGTTCTGCTGAGTTTACATGTAGCTAAAACACATAAAAAGAGTCACCTCTCTCTTGCCGTAGTTTTCCCGGGCGTGTCCGGAAGGAAACACCACCGTCTGTCCTCCTCCTCCTCCTCCTCCTCCTCCTCCTCCTCGTCTCTGTGGACTGAATGTCAGCGTCTTGTTCTCGAACGCTCCCTCCACGCTACAGAACATTCCGCCATATTTCATCCGAGGTCGAGGGGAGTCAGAACCCAGCCGGGAGAGAAGAGAGGAGGAAGAGTCCTGAGAACACCTCCTCTCATCAGACATCATGGAGAGGAATGAGAGGAGAGGAGGAGGAGGAACATGAACATTACTAGGACACTCCTCTGAATCATTTGGGGCTTTCACACCAACACCATGCCAAGCGTGGAGTGGAGGGTGTATAGACTGGACTCTGGAGCAGTGGACACACACACACACACACACACACACACACACACACACACACACACACACACACACACACACACACACACACACACACACACACACACACACACACACACACCACACACACACACACACACACACACACACACACACACCACACACACACACACACACACACACACACACACCACACACACACACACACACACACACACACACACACACACACACACACACACACACACACAGGTCAGTGCTCATTACTTTGCTGTCTGAAGACACTGCAGTCTGAACTGGATTTCTGTGCCTGTCAAATTAACTTTATGTTCACACACACACACACACACACACACACACACACACACACACACACACTCAGTCAGTGGACCGTAACAGAGTGTGTTTCAGTGACTTCCTGTCTGACTGAATCTCAGAGACACACTGTGACAGTGTACATGTATAATATGTAGTATTATACAGTGTATAGTAACAGTGTGTAGTACAGTGTGTAGTAACATTGTCAGTACACAGTGTGTAGTGTCAGTACACAGTGTGTAGTACAGTGTGTAGTAACAGTGTCAGTACACAGTGTGTAGTAACAGTGTCAGTACACAGTGTGTAGTACAGTGTGTAGTAACAGTGTCAGTACACAGTGTGTACTGTATAGTAACAGTGTCAGTACACAGTGTGTAGTACAGTGTGTAGTAACAGTGTCAGTACACAGTGTGTAGTACAGTGTGTAGTAACAGTGTCAGTACACAGTGTGTAGTACAGTGTGTAGTAACAGTGTCAGTACACAGTGTGTAGTACAGTGTGTAGTAACAGTGTCAGTACACAGTGTGTAGTACAGTGTGTAGTAACAGTGTCAGTACACAGTGTGTACTGTGTAGTAACATGAACACCAGCAGACTGAATGTCCAGAGGAAGGGTTGACGTTTAATGATGAATACATACATAAATCATCAGCAAAGATAACAATAATTTACATGTATAATAAAAAGTAAAGAAATGTGAATCAACAGACCACCGGAGAGTTTTCACTCTCTTTAAATAAAGAAAAACATTCAAATATAAAGTGCACGTTTTAACCTTGTACTTTTCTGGAATCTATTCAATACTTTTCTCTTAAAGAGTCGTTTCAATACAGATCTCAGTTTGTGCTGATGAAGACCTGAACCTCTTCCTCAGAGGGTCTGTATGATCTGGATTCAATCTGAACACAAGGGTTAGGAAACTGAACATGGTCCAGTCTCTCAGAGACGTCTCCTCTTCAGTCTCTCAGAAACGTCTCCTCTTCAGTCTCTCAGAGACGTCTCCTCTTCAGTCTCTCAGAAACGTCTCCTCTTCAGTCTCTCAGAAACGTCTCCTCTTCAGTCTCTCAGAGACGTCTCCTATTCAGTCTCTCAGAAACGTCTCCTCTTCAGTCTCTCAGAGACGTCTCCTCTTCAGTCTCTCAGAGACGTCTCCTATTCAGTCTCTCAGAAACGTCTCCTCTTCAGTCTCTCAGAGACGTCTCCTCTTCAGTCTCTCAGAGACGTCTCCTATTCAGTCTCTCAGAAACGTCTCCTCTTCAGTCTCTCAGAGACATCTCCTCTTCAGTCTCTCAGAAACGTCTCCTCTTCAGTCTCTCAGAGACGTCTCCTCTTCAGTCTCTCAGAGACGTCTCCTCTTCAGTCTCTGAGAGACGTCTCCTCTTCAGTCTCTGAGAGACATCTCCTCTTCAGTCTCTCAGAGACGTCTCCTCTTCAGTCTCTCAGAGACGTCTCCTATTCAGTCTCTCAGAAACGTCTCCTCTTCAGTCTCTCAGAGACGTCTCCTCTTCAGTCTCTCAGAGACGTCTCCTATTCAGTCTCTCAGAAACGTCTCCTCTTCAGTCTCTCAGAGACATCTCCTCTTCAGTCTCTCAGAAACGTCTCCTCTTCAGTCTCTCAGAGACGTCTCCTCTTCAGTCTCTCAGAGACGTCTCCTCTTCAGTCTCTGAGAGACGTCTCCTCTTCAGTCTCTGAGAGATATCTCCTCTTCAGTCTCTCAGAAACGTCTCCTCTTCAGTCTCTCAGAGACGTCTCCTATTCAGTCTCTCAGAGACGTCTCCTCTTCAGTCTCTCAGAGACGTCTCCTCTTCAGTCTCTCAGAAACGTCTCCTCTTCAGTCTCTCAGAAACGTCTCCTCTTCAGTCTCTCAGAGACATCTCCTATTCAGTCTCTCAGAGACGTCTCCTATTCAGTCTCTCAGAGACGTCTCCTCTTCAGTCTCTCAGAGACGTCTCCTCTTCAGTCTCTGAGAGACGTCTCCTATTCAGTCTCTCAGAGACGTCTCCTCTCCAGTCTCTCAGAGACGTCTCCTCTTCAGTCTCTCAGAGACGTCTCCTATTCAGTCTCTCAGAGACGTCTCCTCTTCACTCTCTCAGAGACGTCTCCTCTTCAGTCTCTGAGAGACGTCTCCTCTTCAGTCTCTGAGAGACGTCTCCTATTCAGTCTCTCAGAGACGTCTCCTCTTCAGTCTCTGAGAGACTTCTCCTCTTCAGTCTCTGAGAGACTTCTCCTCTTCAGTCTCTCAGAGACGTCTCCTCTCTAGTCTCTCAGAGACGTCTCCTCTTCAGTCTCTCAGAAACGTCTCCTCTTCAGTTTCTGAGAGACGTTTCCTCTTCAGTCTCTCAGAGACGTCTCCTCTTCAGTCTCTCAGAAACGTCTCCTCTTCAGTCTCTCAGAGACGTCTCCTCTTCAGTCTCTCAGAGACATCTCCTCTTCAGTTTCTGAGAGACATCTCCTCTTCAGTCTCTGAGAGACATCTCCTCTTCAGTCTCTCAGAGACGTCTCCTCTTCAGTCTCTCAGAGACATCTCCTCTTCAGTCTCTCAGAGACGTCTCCTCTTCAGTCTCTGAGAGACATCTCCTCTTCAGTCTCTCAGAGACGTCTCCTCTTCAGTCTCTCAGAGACATCTCCTCTTCAGTCTCTCAGAGACGTCTCCTCTTCAGTCTCTGAGAGACATCTCCTCTTCAGTCTCTCAGAGACGTCACCTCTTCAGTCTCTCAGAGACGTCTCACGTCACACTAGTTCTTGGCATTTTGATATGGTTTAGTGTTAGGGTTGAGAAAAGACCCCAATGTTCACCTGAACACTTAAGTCCAACAGCTGGGACAGTCCGTCCATAACCCCTAACAGTACCTGTACCTGTAACAGCATTTTTATTTGAGTCCAGCACCACATTGGTCCAGCTGTTGTTGAACCGGCCACCTGAGACCTCCTGAGGCGTGTGGGTCCCTTCCTGTCCTGGTCTCTGAGGCGGGACTGTCCCTTCCTGTCCTGGTCTCTAAGGCGGGACGTCCCTTCCTGTCCTGGTCTCTGATGCGGGACCGTCCCTTTCTGTCCTGGTCTCTGAGGCGGGACGTCCCTTCCTGTCCTGCTCTCTGAGGCGGGACGTCCCTTCCTGTCCTGGTCTCTGAGGCGGGACCGTCCCTTCCTGGCCTGTTGTCTGAGGTAGGACCGTCCCTTCCTGGCCTGGTCTCTGAGGCGGGACCAGAGTCAGCTGACAGCCAGGCTCTGCTGTGATTGGTGGACAGCAGCAGGTGCACGGCAGTGGGCGGTGAGGTGCTGGATCTCCTGAAACCCTGTGAGGTCCATCTGAAGCAGACAGAGCCCTGCTGGACTCTGAAACACAGACCGGACCTCAGCCTCACTGTGACATCATCATACAGGTACTGAGTACTACCTGAATACTTCACCGCTACCTGAGTACTACCTGAATACTTCACCGCTACCTGAGTACTACCTGAATACTTCACTGCTACCTGAGTACTACCTGAATACTACACTGCTACCTGAGTACTACCTGAATACTTCACTGCTACCTGAGTACTACCTGAATACTTCACCGCTACCTGAGTACTACCTGAATACTTCACTGCTACCTGAGTACTACCTGAATACTTCACTGCTACCTGAGTACTACCTGAATACTTCACTGCTACCTGAGTACTACCTGAATACTTCACTGCTACCTGAGTACTACCTGAATACTTCACTGCTACCTGAGTACTACCTGAATACTTCACTGCTACCTGAGTACTACCTGAATACTTCACTGCTACCTGAGTACTACCTGCATACTTCACTGCTACCTGAATACTACCTGCATACTTCACTGCTACCTGAGTACTACCTGAATACTTCACTGTTACCTGAGTACTACCTGATAACTTCACTGCTACCTGAGTACTACCTGAGAACTTCACTGCTACCTGAGTACTACCTGAATACTTTACTGCTACCTGAGTACTACCTGCATACTTCACTTCTACCTGAGTACTACCTGAATACTTCACTGCTGCCTGAGTAATTCCTGCATACTTCACTGCTACCTGAGTACTACCTGCATACTTCACTTCTACCTGAGTACTACCTGAATACTTCACTGCTACCTGAGTACTACCTGAATACTTCACTGCTACCTGAATACTTCACTGCTACCAGAGTACTACCTGAATAATTCACTGCTACCTGAGTACTACCTGAGAACTTCACTGCTACCTGAATACTTCACTGCTACCTGAGTACTACCTGAATAATTCACTGCTACCTGAGTACTACCTGATAACTTCACTGCTACCTGAGTACTACCTGAGAACTTCACTGCTATCTGAATACTTCACTGCTACCTGAGTACTACCTGAGTACTTCACTGCTACCTGAGTACTACCTGAGAACTTCACTGCTACCTGAATACTTCACTGCTACCTGAGTACTACCTGCATACTTCACTGCTACCTGAGTACTACCTGAGAACTTCACTGCTACCTGAATACTTCACTGCTACCTGAGTACTACCTGATAACTTCACTGCTACCTGAATACTTCACTGCTACCTGTGTAC